GGACAGATTTCCAAAAATCTAAATTAATGGAGAAATAATCTTGTTCATGGATCAGAAGACTCAGTATTCTTAAAAACTCTTGTAAATAAGAAAGCAAACCATCTAATTCTTTAAAAAGGCAAACATTTTGAACATACACTTCAAGGAATAAACAAACACATGATAATAAACACTCAACATTATTATTAGAGAAATACACACTAAAATCCAAACAGACCAAAGTAAGACAGGAAGGGAGCAGAAGAAGATGTACTAAAGAATGAAACTGACCAAATTATGTTATGTGCATGTATAAATATGTCACAATGAATCCCACTATTATGTATAATTATAATGCACCAATTAAAAATATCCAAAGATCCAGACATGGTGGTGTGGTGGTGCACACCTATAATTCCAGAGATTTGGAAGGCTGAAGAAAGAGGATCACAAGTTTGAGACTATTCTCAGCAACTTAGCAAGGCCCTGTCTCAAAATAAAAAGAACTGGAGATGTGGCTCAGGGGTGAAGCACCCTTGAGTTCAATTCCCAGTACCAAAAATAAAAGAATTTTAATTTTTAAAAAATTATGTGTGTGCATGCGTGCGTGCACACATATACATATCTCCAGAGACAGCATGACCAAACCACCATCAAAAGTGATGGTGGTAGGGGGCTGGGGTTGTGGCTCAGCAGTAGAGAGCTCACTTAGCATGTGCGAGGAGCTAGGTTCAATCCTCAGCACCACATTAAAAAAAATAAAGATATTATGTCCAACTACAACTAAAAAAATAATAATAATTAAAAAGTGATGGTGGATCAGTTCTTAGAAGGCTTGCCTCACATGCAGAAGGCATACTAGCCCCGACACACACACACACACACACACACAAAAGGATACCAACAAGAGCTAGAGAGGATATGGAGCAAGTTGAATTTTCAAATTTTGCTGGTAGGAATGTAAAATAGTACAGCCTGTTTGGAAAAACAGCTTCATAATTTCTTATAAGATTAAACGCATACTTATTAAATGAATGCATACATACAGGATATAACAGAGAAATATGTACATACAAAGATTGCTAAGTGAATGTTTATAACTGCTTTATAATAGGCTCAAACTAATGATAAATGTGAGGTAGATAACTTTCAAAAGCATTATGTTAAATCTAATGAATTAAACAGATACTTCTCAAACGAACTATAAATGAATGGCCAACAAATACATGGAAAAAAATGTTCAACACCATTAGCAATGAGGGAAATGAAATGCAAATCAAAACTACAATGAGATTTCATCTCACACCAGTTAGACTGGCAGTCATCAATAATACAAATAATAATAAATGCTGGAGAGGATGTGGAGAAAAAGAAACACTTTTACATTGTTATTAGAACTGTAAATTAGTACAACTGCTATGAAAATCAGTATGAAGGTTCCTCAAAAGACTAGGCATGGAACCATCATATATCCAGCTATACCACTTCTCAGTCTTTACCCTGAAGAATTAAAGACATCTTATACAGTAAGATATATGCATACTCATTTTTATAGCAGCACAATTCATAATAGTGAAACTACAAAACCAGCCTAAGTCTCCATCTATGAATGAATGGATGGATAAAGAAAATGTAATATATACACACACAAAATAGAGTTTTGAATTATTCAGCAAGAAAAATGAAATTATGGCATTTGCAGGAAAATGGATGGAAGTAAAGACCATCATGTTAAGTGTAATACATCAAACTCAGAAAGTTAAGGGTTATATGTTTTCTCTAGTATATGGAAGCTAGAGAGGAAAAGGGGAAGTAAAATAAAAGAGAGATCAGTAGAGGAAAGGGACTAAGGGGTGAAGGATAGGAATGGGAAATACTGGGGAGTGATATTGGCCAAATTATGTTGTTATGTTGTATTCATGAATAAATATGTAACAACAAATCCCATCAATATGTACAAATATAATGTACCAATAAAAATATGGGAAAAAACATCATGCCAAGAAATAAGAAGTAGACACAAAATAACTATATAATGTATACTTTAATTGTTTAATATTCTGCAAAAGGCAAAAAGGAACAGAAATCAGATCACTGCTTGACCAGAGGATGAATGTAAGGGCTCAGGTTAATTTTATAAAGCATTAAGGAATTTAAGGAAGTGCAAGAAAAGCTAAAGGTCTTAATTGTGGTGGTGAGTAAATATTATCTATTTGTCAAATTTCACTGAAGCGCACATCAAGAATCTGAATTTTTTAAGTGGGGGTATATTAATGTATAGAATATACCTATAAGGATATGTATTTTATTTTTATTTATCAAGCCCTTATGGAATGTTTAATGTATCTTAGACACTATCCTGAATGCTATACAAATACACACTCACAGTGGGAGATGTCCTTGTGATTATGAGAAGATGAGAAAAACTTTTTTGTTTGATTTGTTTGTTTAATCTATTGTTTCAATTCTTTTAACCATGGATGAATAATACCTATTTTAAAAAAAAAAAATGCTTTGCAGGTTTTTAAAATTGCTTTTGCCATACCAAAGATCTGTTGGCAAAACAAAATATCCAGTACTTATTTATTTGATTTCTCTGCAACATATGACTACCACCTAGTGCTTTCAGTCTTTCTCCAATCCTCATTTTTGCAGATATTCCTTTCTCCTCCTTCTTCTTCCATCCTTCATGAATCTTATCTGCCACTCACATCATGTACCAATTACACTGTTGAGATATCTCTGGGGTCTTTCCCCTCTCCTTTCTGCCACCACAGTGTTAGTTTAGACCCTTGGTATCTCCTTTTGGTGGGGGAGGAGGGGAGTGGTACCAGGGATTGAACTCAAAGACACTCGACCACATCCCCAGCTCTATTTTGTGTTTTATTTAGAGATAGGGTCTCACTGAGTTGTGTAGTACACCTCACCATTGCTGAGACTAGCTTTAAATTCTTCTTGATCCTCCTACCTCAAGCCTCCAGAGCCGCTAAGATTAAAGGTGTGTGCCACTGAGCCTGGCCTTCAGTATCTCTTGAGGAAATAACTCTCTACATGCCTACTGGCTGGCCTCTCTGCCTTCAGCCTCACCCTAACCAAATCCATTTTCCACATTATTTACAAATTATCTTTTGAAGAATGCAAACTAGATCATTTCATTTTCATGTTCAAGACTTGAATGATTCCTCAAGCTCTTTACTTCATATAAAAATGGTGGCCTCAACTCTTCCTGACTTTCCAGACTCATCCCCGTGTACCCTAACACACGTATACAATGTTTGTTGTATGATCGAAACCCCTCACTCCCAACATCTAATGGTTCATTCCTTGAGTGTAAAGACCAAGATTCAGTAACCCTGTTATCTTTAGTTTTAATGGGTGTAATGGTTAATTTTATGTGCTAACTTGTGAAGTCATAGTGACCAGATAATTGGTCAAACTTTATTCTAAGTGTTTCTGTGAGAGTTTGGGGATGATATTTACATTTAAATTGGGGCCTTTTAAATAAAGTTGACTGCACTTCCACATAAGAATGAAGTTCATATTATCAGTTGAAAGCCTGAGTAGAACAAAAAGCTGCTCTCCTGGAGCAAAAGGGAATTTCCCAGCAGACTGCCTTTGGACTAGAACTGGAACTCAGAGTCTCCAGCCTGACAGCCTATCTAACCAGACTATAATACCCTCCACAATCAAATGGGCCAATTTCTTAAAATAAATCCCTCTGAGTGTTTGTATATGTGCGTGTATGTATGTGGTTAGTTCTCTGGAGAACCCTAATACAGCTTGTTTGCAAGAAATGTTTTTCAAATAAATAAAATTAATTAATAAAATTAACGCTGATTTTTGTCTTGTTTTCTTTCACTTACTGTATAAATAAGTGTCTGTGAAGAGATGTATTTTGACATATTTTTATAAATTACTCACCAGTTTTAAGTCAAATGTGTTAAGTTAAAACAACATATATACAATATAAGATCTACAGAAACTGGAACATATGTTAGGTTTCACGTTACAAATTCTTTTAAAAGAAGAAAAAGCATTAACTAGCCAGGTTATAAAAACAAAATTGAAATTGCTAGCAATACTACACAAATGATTTTTTAATCATTAAAAGAATCATGGCTGTCTCAAAAGGAAATATAAAGCTAAATATTTTTTAACAGATAACTTTATTTCTTATTCTAAACTTCATAAATTTGTTTATGGAGAAACTAAAGATATCTATGAAACAGAATCCTTATGTAAGAAAGGCCTGATCAAAAGCATATCAGTTTTATAAAAGTACTTATTAGGCCTGTTTCATTATGAATTTCCATATAAATAAAACATTGAATAATTTCTACATATGCATAGATAAAATAAGTTAATGCAAAATAAAATTAAGCCAACTCTCACCAAGTTATCTGCCAAGCCCTGAATTCAGGGTTCTGTGCATCTCTTGCAACAGAGGTAGGTGTTAATGATGTCATTAACTGCTGTAGAAGAAATTGGGGACCATGAATACAGGTCTTGGCAGAAAACAAATACCCTGTGAGTTTATCTTTAAATTTAAAGTAAACAGAAAAATCAGTTTATAGTGTGTCTGTCTAATATAGTTCTTGCCCTAAAGAGATACGTCAGAATTCTTATTTCTGTGTTTTCAGCTTAATTCCCAAAATAAAGGCTAAAACCTCTGTTCTTAAAAGGTGCAGATTAAGACTACGTCTATAGACAAAAACAATTAACTGACAAAAACAGTCATTCAATAAGTTAAAAATTATTCAACAAATATTACAGAATATGTACAATCATATAAAAATTTTTATTATTAGCTAATTGTAAGATTATAAATACTAACTAATATTTCATCTTACCCCTTAAATAGATGTTATTTTGCACCTGGAATATCTGTCTTATATAAAGATAGAGCACTGCCTTAGAAAAGTTAAAATAGACACCTACTTTAATACTAGTCATAATCAGAATTTATTAATCACTTTAATATTCCGACAGAAAGCACACAGGCATGTAAGCTTTATTCTCACCTTGTCAAGTTGATCTTGAAGACTAGTGGATGCTTTATAACCAAGTTGTAACAGCATTGCTTCTGCAGCATTTTTTTTGGCTATCTTTTTATTAGGCCCTGTTCCAGTAGCAACTTCATTGCCTATCTTGACCTGATAAAATTAAAGAAAGAAATTAATAATAAGTGTGTTGACAAACAGGAAATCCTTACATTATAAAGCATTGTATTCCACTCTAATATTCAAAAATAAAAAGCTCAGTCCAAAACAAAATAGGAAGATAAATCCCACTATTTTATAGATATAAATGAAAGTACACCCACAAAAAAAATACAGGAAAGTGGTGGGTTATCCTGGAAAGCAGTCTTATAGAGGACATTTTATTGCCTTACAAATTGATATATTATTTTATTTTTTAAGCAGTAAACTTGTATTATTTAGATAAGCAGGAAAATCAGATTTATATCTTAGCATAGAGTTCATGTTGCATATTACACATTTAGTGTTCTTTATTTCAATTAATGAACTGAAAAGGTTGAAATCCATATTGATGTCATTTAAACCAATATTCAAATTGCATTGCAAGTTTACAAAGATTTTATTAAATACTTTAGAAAAGAATTAACACACAAGGGTTAATATAATACGGTGGTTAAGAATAAAGACTGTTTAAGTTAGATTGAGATATGAAACTATTCTATTTCCTGGCTGTATGAACTAGTGCAAATTATTTAACATCTATAAGCCTCAGGTTCATCATTAGTAAAGCAGGGATAATATTAACTACCTCATAGTATTCCTTTGCAAATTAAACAAGAAGTCAGGTGTAGTAGTATATGCCTGTTATCCCAGCAACTTGGGAGAATAAGGCAGGAGGATAGCAAGTTCGAGGTTAGCCTCAGCAACTTAGTGGGCCCTCAGCAATTTAGTGAGACCCTGTCTCAAAATAAAAATATAAAAGGCTTGGGGGCAGAGGCGAGGGGATATAGCTTGATGGTAAAGCATTTCTGGATTCAATTCCCAGTACCAAAATTAAAAAATGAACATTTATATATAGTAAACAAACAAAATAATCCATATCAACATACTATTAAATCAATCACATTTACTCAGTAAACAGCAAACTATTCCACAGTTGTATTTTGTGAGTAATTTAAACACACATGTGTTGCAAACATATATATATTTACATATACAAGAGTCATCTTACATTCACATGAACATTTTCTGAGTTGGGCAATGCTGTTTAAAAGATGCATGTGCAAAGAGATACTACAAATATAAAAATTAAGTTAGAAAGCAGAATTACAAGGAACACAAAGAGACAGAGAAAATATACAACTATAGTAGGATTTGGTTTTATTCAATAATCTCAGAGATAAAAAGTTAACCACAACTGAGAAAATGAAAAAATGCAATTCTAAATAATCCATGGGTAAAAGATAAAATCCCAATAGAAATTAGAAAGTATTTTAAATAAACAATAAAATATATCAAAACTTGAAGGATGCAGCAGGATCTAGAAGAAATGTGTAGTCATAGTAGAATATAGAAGGGCATAAAATGACATAACATCCATCTCAAGAAGTTACAAACATGCAAAATCAAACTGAGAAAACATAAGAATAAATACAAGAGCAAAAATTAAAGAAATGAAAAATAAAATACAATAGAGAAGCCAAAAGCTGGTTTCTTTAAAAAGTTAAAATGATAAACCAAGGTAAGACTGATCAAGAAAAAAAAAGAGAGAGAGAGAGAGAAAGACACAAGTAAGAATGAAAAGGGAAATTACCACAGCTTCTGTCCCATTACAAAACTGTAAGAAATATTCAAAATAATTTTATATTTTTTAAAAACTATTTAAATAAAATGGAAAAGCTGTTCAACAATACAAGTTACCAAAATTCCACAAAAAGAGTCTATAACTGAATAGAACTACATAACTACTAAAGAAATGGTTAAGCATTTGCCTAGCATGTACAAGGGGGAAAAAGGGGGCGGTGGAGGAGGGGGGTGATATGAGAATATGTGAAAGGCAAACAAAAGCAATCAACGGAATGTACTATATAACAGGATGAAGAGACAAACCAATTTGATCATCCTAATAAATGAAACAAAAGTATTTGGTAAAATTTAAAATCCAACCTTTACTCATGATGAAAACTATTAGCAAACTAGGAAAAGAAGAAAATTTCCTTAATATGATGAAGGGAATTTTACAAAAAACATACAGCAGACCTCATCTAACACTGTACTTAATGCTGAAACTTAAAGATTAGAGCTGGGCACAGGGGCATATGCCTATAATCCCAGCTACACAGGAGGCTGAGGCAAGAGGATCACAAGTTCAAAGTTAGCCGGGGCAACTTAACAAGGTCCACAGCAACTTATCAAGACCCTATCTCAAAATAGAAAATAAAAAGGGCTGGAAGTATAGCTCGGTGGTAAGCCCTAGTACTAAAAAAGAAGAAGAAGAAGAAGACATTTTGGATTAGAAACAAGAAAACAATGCCTTGTCATTCCTAGTATTTAACATTACTACAAATCCTGAATAGAGCAATAAAAAAATAAGATAAAGAATTAGAAAGGGGAAATGTCATTATTTATAGTCACTTATAAGAAATCCAAGAAAATCTACAAGTAAATTTAAGAATTAATGAGAATCCAAAAAGCTCTCTGTATAAAAATGTCAGTGTACCAAAAACCAACTGCATTCCTATATTCCATCAACATTCAACTAGAAAATGAAAAATACTAAAAGATACTATTCACACTAAATGAAAACCAGAGACCTAGGAAGTGTAGGGAATGTACACAGCAAACAATAATGATTAATGAGTAAATCCTATTAGAATGATTATGCCATGTTCATGGATTGAAGAAAATAGTAGTATAATGATTATCATTTCTCTTTAAATTGACATATAAATTCAATAAATTCCAGTCAAAACCCCACAAATACTTTTATGATTTTGACAAGCTGATTACAAAATTTATACAGTAATGCAATGTGCTAAAAATAGCCAAGATCCTATGGCGAAAGAGATGAGAGCACTTATTTATCTGGCTCTTTAGACTTATTATAAAGCTAAAATAAAGGAAGAGTGATTGCATTTAAAATTACTTTTCTTAAAAAAGCACTATTAAAAAATGATAGTCACAACACAGAGGATGACATTTGAAATGCCACGGCTCACATCCAGAATATATAATGGATTCTTATAAATTCGTCTTATTCATTTTTTTAAGTTGCTAGAAAAGAAAAATCAATTGAACAAGTGATCCACAAATCAAAAGTTGAATTGTGTTACCAGATGTCACTATGTTTTGTACAAAAAATAAAAAAAGAGAGAGAAAGCTTCATTAGCCACATGCCACTTTAAAAAAACACTTCACAATGATAATGTACTAAATATTAACTGCAAATACAAATAAAATATTAAAACCAAGATTTCAAGACCATGGTTTTAATTGACAAATAAAGACTGGATAGATAAAATTTGAAAAGGAGGGTATTTTAAGCATTCCACCTCATTCCCAGTCCCCACCATCTACCAACACATAAGGTAAGCATCCTTCGAAGTTCTTGGCTGCACAATGCAGCAATTAGATCCCTCAAGCAATTCTGAATCCCTTAGTCCCCACAATGGTTAGGTAGGCAGCTCACTGTCCTAACTAATTTCCCTGATAGCCCAGGAATTCATGATTTTGGCCTTGCTCCATCTATTACATCCATTCTTCTAAATTTTGTTTCTAATTCCATTTGTCTCCAATTCCCAGCAGTTAATGGACTCTGGCTGCAAAATGTAACATAAAATTAAAAGATAGACATTAAATGATAAACTCTGGGTACATAGCCCGTGTGAACTCATAGGCCCATCAAAAACTCATCTTGTCTATTCTAGCATGTCCTTGACACTAGTATGTATCCATCAAGTTGACAGGTTTACAAGTTCAAATGTAAACATCGATTTATTTTCTGCTATCAAGTTCTAGTTTGTCTTTCCCCCATATCTCTATTCCAACCTGAGGATTTCTAAATGTTTTCAATAGCTTTATCAGTTTTTAATATAAAGGTTAGAAATACCTGCATCACAAATTCTCGACGTCGAGGCATTCCTCTTTCTGAAAGCAAAACATAATCTGGTTCCTTTTCTTTTTTGGCCTGTTGAATTTGAGCCAGGCGACTAATGGGGTTCATTCCTTGACCATATTCTGGTCCAGCCTACAAAATAATTAAAGAAAAAAATTTCAAAATAAGCCCAGAAAACTTGTTATTGGATCATTAAAGAAACCATCGTTCTCCCCTCTATCTCTACACCCCTAAAGTGTGACTGCAGAAGGTAAACAAGAGTCATTTATGAAGATTTATGAAGGCAAATCATAAAATAGACCCATAAATAAAGCTTTTATGGGATTTAGACTTACAGGTCTTATAAATAAATTGGCTCAACCATGTCTTAAAAAATTGATTCAATTCTTCAGTATGGTATAGTTGCTTCACAACTTCGTATTCACCAAAAAGAATGTGAGAGCATAAGCCATGGACTGGGAAGAGATGTTTGCAACACACATATAATTTAACAAGAAATCTCCAGTATTCAAATTGTGTTTTTAAAAACTCCTAAGTGGTATTAAAAAAAAAGACAATATAAAAGGGAAATGGGCAAAAATATGACAGATATTTCACACAAAAAAAATACACATATGAAAAGATAACTTCATTAGAACTTGAAAAATGCATATTAAAACTACAGTGAGGACTGGAGTTGTGGCTCAGCGGTAGAGTGTTTGCCTAGCACAAGTGAGGCCCTGGGTTCGATCCTCAGCACCACATACAAACAAATAAGTAAAGATATTGTGTCCAACAACAACTAAAAAATAAACGAATATTAAAAAAAAAAACTACAGTGAGATACTAGTTCACCCCTCTACCCACCCAGTTTATCAAAAATTAAAGTCTAACAGCACCAACTGGTGAGAATGGAAAGTAATATAAACTTTTTTTTTTTATGATGGGGTCTCATCATGTTACCCAGTAGACTTTTTAAAAAATTTAAAATTCATAAGCCAATACTAAAATTTGTGTGAAACTACAAAGGACAAATAACCAAAACAATCTAAGATTCAGAGTACCTGATTTCAAGATTATAAAACTATAGTATTCAACACAGTATGTGTAGTATTGGCATAAAAATATATAAAGAAATCAATGAACAGAATTAGCATCTGGAAATACACACACATACACACACACACACACACACACACACACACAGAGTCAACTTATTTTTTTCAGAAAATAAGTTGGTCTTGTCAACCAGTGGTGCTAGGACAATTTACAGGCAAAAAGCAAGGAACTTCAATACATATCTCATGCCATTTATAAAAATGATTAACTCAAATGTTACGCATAACATTAGCATAATTTTTAAAACTCCAAAATTTCCAGAATGCAAGCAAAAATTTTGTGGTCTGGGTAGGTGACAATTTCTTAGTTACAATGCCAAAATCACATTTGTAAATAATAATAAATCAGACATCTTCAAAATTAACAATTTCTGCCAGGCCTGGTGGCACACGCCTATAATTCCAGCAGCTCAGGAAGCTGAGACAGGAGGATAAGGAGTTCAAAGCTAGCCTAAGCAATAGTGAGGCATTAAGCAACTCAGTGAGACCCTGTCTCTAAGTAAAATACAAAATAGGGCTGGGGATGTGACTCACGTGTCCAGTACCCATGAGTTCAATCTCCAGTACGAAAAAAAAAAGAAAGAAAGGCCTCTCATATACAATTATTCTTTTAAGTGAGCAAGAAATTTTTTTAAGTAGACAAAAGATCTGAATACTTTATCAAGCCTCGTATGCCTTAAGCACATAAAAAGATTCTCACTATCATGAATCACTGGGGAAATATAAATTAAAACTATAGTGAGATACCAATAACACAGGTATTTGAACACCTGAAATTTTAAAGGCTTGTTTTATTAAGTTTTAGCAAAGATGTAGAGCAACTGGAATTCTCAGACAAGACTGATGACAAAATGAGACAGTAGAATCATAGTACTTTGACAAATAACTGGCAGTTTCTTAAAAAGTTGGATACACACTTACAAAATGACTAAGCCATTCCACTTAGAAGTATTTAACCAAGAGAAATGAAAGCATATGATCATAGATGATTTCTATACAAATGTTCATACTGGCTTTATGTACAATAACCAAAAACTAGAAACATCTCAAATATCCAACAAGTAAAAGGATAAACAAATGGTCATGTATCCATACCATGAAATACTGTACTACTGAGCCATAAAATAGAACCAATGATTGATATATGAAACAACCTGGATGAATCTCAAAATAATCATGCTTGGTAAAAGAAGGCATAAAAAAGGAATGGTTTCTTGGGAACTGAGAGTGAAGGATTACCAAGAAGCCTGAGGAAACTTTTAGGAACAATTTATGTATCTATTTCTGGAGAGGGGAGGTACCAAGGATTGAACTCAGGGGCACTCAAACATTAAGCCACATCTGCAGCCCTATTTTGTATTTTATTTAAAGACAGGGTCTGAGTTGCTTAGCACCTCGCTTTTGCTAAGGCTGGCTTTGATTTCACAACCCTCCTATCTCAACCAGTGTATCCAATCTCAATTTAGTGTCTTGATTGTGGTCAAGGCTTTACAAGTGTGTACATGTATCAAAACATATCGAAAAAAGTACACTTTAAACATGTACATTACACTATGCATAAATATAAATATGCATATATATTAGAAAAAGAAACATTTCAAAACTGTAAAAAAAATACATACAAACTAATAATGGTTGTCTGAGGGAGGTGGCATTGAGCATGTGATAGAAAAAAAAGATACAGAGAGTCTAAACCTATTGAAGTTCTTTCTATATGCTATATTTAAGTTCTATGCTCTATACTCAAAGGGGACAGTAGGTCTTACTCATATTTAATTAGCATGCTTTTCAACTTATATACAAGATTATAAATAGATTTTTGCATGTATTATGATTTAAAAACAAAAATTCTTTATAAAGCAAATATTCTTTTACCATATGAAGTTTCTTTACGTTTTTCTAAAAATGAAGGTCTGCATATATCATATGGCTGAAGCTTTACTTCCACCAGTGAAAATTTGTTCTTAAACAAGTAGTAGAGACAAAGACAATCACTATATTACAGATTACATGTTACAGTAATCTTACATAAGAGACACTGTGTAGTCTTAGCTCTTTCTGATAAAATACTGACACTCAGGATCTTGGTAATGTCCACATGGTGCTTCAGGTACAGCCTGCAGGTCAGTTCCTTCAGCCTCTTTTAAACTATGTTTAGTATTCTGGAATTTATCCAAAGAGAAATGAAAAACTCTAATAGCAGAGGCATATGATTAGATAGGTGTTTCTAAAAGATCACACTTTTTAAAAGATCATTTTGTATCCAGAGTACTTGTAAGAAAGCAGTTAAAACCTGACTGCAGCCAGGTGCAGTAGCCACGCCTATAATCCCAGGGACTCAGAAGCCTGAGGCAGGAGGACTGTGAAGTAAGTTCAAAGCCAGCCTCAGCAACTTAGCAAGGCCCTGAAGTAACTAAGCAAGACTCTGTCTCTAAATAAAATATTTAAAAGGCTGGTGATGTAACTCAGTGGGAAAGAAATCCTGGGTTTAATCCCCAGTACCAAACAAAATAAAATAAAACTGACTATAGTAGTTCAGGCAAGAGATCATCGTGAAATTGACCAGAAGGGATAGACAGAAAGAACCTAAAGACATATTTAGATGATAGAATCAATAGGACTTGATGATTTATTGGATATAAAGGGTAATAAAAAAGTTAAAGTGACTTCTAGCTTTCAGTTTCAGCAGATTTGGATGGTGGTGGCAGTCACTAAGATAAGGAATGCTAGTAGAGAAAGACGTTAGAAGGAAACAAGAAGAGTTTGGGACACAGAGTCTGAGATGCCTGTGAAATATTAAGCAATGGTGCCTAATACACAGTGTAGAGTGCAGAAGAGTGCTTGTAAATCATCTACCTGAAGACTGACTTGAACCCCTAGAAGTAAAAGAGCAGTCTAGGGAAAGAAGAAGAGGAAAAAGAGCAAAAACTACCATCACAAAGATTAGGTGGAGAGGGAGACAAGAGAACAAAAGAGACTTTCAGCTTTTGATAAAGTACTTTTCTACTTAAACTCACATTCTAAATAAAATTTGAACAAATTATAAAAGGGGTGAAGGAGGGATGATGGGAAAAGACAAATGCAAACAATAATTGGAAAGTATAAGATTGCAATCCCAGAAAAAAGGTAAAGAAAAGCTTTGAGTCTGGCACTAGAAGTATGCCTAGCACATGAAGATAGTCAAATAAACAAACATGCATTCCCAATGGTAATGTTATATTTTTCTTTTTGACTCTTATAAGAATGTCTTAAAGTATCAAATTGTTGTAGATATGGATTCCAATGACAAAGACCATATGCATAAATCCAATTGGGGTAAAGAAGGAATCCTGAGAATACTAAGAAAGGATTGATTTCTTTCTTTCTTTGAAATTAATTAACAGTACATTTGACAATTAAGTTATTCCTGAAATAACAAGTCTTAGATTCTACAAACCAGAAAGAACAGTCTGATATATCCAGAAAATTTTATGTCCAGCATTGGAAAGCCTTCTTTAAAGTTTCATGTTGTGGAAAAGAACTGTATTGAAGAAAGGATAAAACCCAAAGACACCATCAGAGAAGCTGTACATGTTAACAGCATAACTCCATAGAGTAAATTTAAAATCCAAAAGGAAATCACAATTAACCAGTTTCAAATACACACTAAAGTCAGACACAACAGGATCTGAAATCTGACTCTGCTACAGGATTTGGAGTAACACAAATGGCCTCATTTCTAAGATGGGTATAACAGCTACACCACAGAATGATCAAGAAGATGATGAGACAGTGTGATAGTTTTATTATTTTAAATAAAATCAAAACAAATCACCTCAGATATTTTCTCTACTTCTATTGAACATAAGGAACTGTATGATATATAAGACATAAAAAGAAGTGAGAAAAATGCTAAAAGTTGAGTTTCTGTTCCAAACTGACCCATTTATCGGCAATTATACTTAAAATTCTACAGAGTCCAAATCATTATATGCATGTTGTTTTCTCAAAAAAATAAAATAAAATAAAAATTACATTTCAGAGGCTAGCTAAAGGATTTATTTTACATAAGACAGACACAGCACAAGTAATTTCAAGTGTGATGTATATAAGGAAAAATGCAAGGGGGTAACGAAGTCTAGGAGTGGAGGAGGATCAGAGAAGGGTTCCCTGAAGAAGTCAAGTTTAAGCAGAAATATGAATGATAGATAGGAGGAAGTTTCAGAATAATGTGTTTATAGAAGCAGTAGCAAATAATTTTAAGAATTTAAAATGATTCTCCCATCCTTTGCCTCTGGGAGATTAAATTTTAACAATAATCTTGTTTTTAACAGCTAAACTTGGAACAAGAATTAGATTTACACATACACTTTAGAAATATATAGATTTTTTTATAGCCCAATAGCTTCAAATTCTTAATATATTAAGATTAGATTTAGTTTAATAGAATAAGTGGAAATCATTGTAACAAGTTTTGTACTTCATGTTAATGTAAAACACTATCTTTCCATTATAGAAAAGCTACACCTTTTTTATACTGAAGGCTTTACAAATATATATCATGGATAAATTCACATACATATAAAATGTGAACAGTTATTAGATACAAAATGCTAATGGTTGATGTTTATTGAGTAATTATGTAGGGACAAGCGTATGCAGTATTGCATACATGGCATAATTTAAGGATGTCTGAGTGACAGGCCACTCCCCTTGTGCTAGGTGTGAGCGGCAGGCAGCTTACCCAGCAGGCACAACCCTGGGCATGAGGCCTTGTGTTGCAGTCTCTATGCTTGCTCCACTGCCCACTCCTCAATAGGTTGCTGCAAGGACAGTTAGAAGAATTGCATTGGTGGCTACCTGTAATCTGCTTAGCTACTGCCTGAGTATATATACATGGTAACTGTGCAATAAAATCAGACCTGCTTCCTGCTTGGTCTCTGGAGATCTTGAATAGTGACTCCTCAGCCACACTCTCCTCTACCCTATTCCATGGATCTCCTCGATGGGAAGAGAGAGCCCACGCATAATTATTTCTTGCATTATTATTATTAGCAATATATACTTAATATATACTTACTGCATTTTGTGCATTGCTTTGAGACAACAATTTGACAAGCAAGAATAATTACTATTGCCAATTTATCAGGAAGAAATATACCATTAGAAAAGTGAAGTGACTTATTCAGGTCACAGGGAATCATAATCAAAATTGACTCCAAAGGTCATGCTCTTACTAGCTATACCCTCCTCCCTTACAGCATATGAGTGAATGCCAGTATTCTTCAGAACCAATATGACTCCTTTATTTTTTGTCTACCTCAGCTCTAATGTAGAATACTATTTCAGTGAATGCATAACCTACAACTTCTAAGTCAAATAAGCCAGTATTCATTAAAAATATGTATTTTTCTCTAATGTGTAGATGCTAATTCACAATAAGGTGGGGGGCACTAGAGAAGAATAGTGTTAGATTAGGTAGATGGAAATGAAGGTGGGGGGAAGAGGGGTTAGAAAAAATAGTAAAATGAAACAGACATTATTACTTTATGTATATATGTGACTACATGACCAATATGATTCTGCAACATGTACACTCAGAAAAATGAGAAATTATATACCATTTATGTATATCAAAGTGCATAAATGTGTTCTACTGTCATGTATAATTAAAACAAATTAAAATTTAATAAAAAATAAGTATATGTAGTTATTTATGCATATATATAGATATGTATTTTTAAATACAGCAATTAACTACAGTATTAAACCCATAAAAATATCTAAGTTATGCCTCTGTACAATTTAAACAAAGGAAATTCAACAAAGATTAACTATATCTCTTATCTGCAATCCTTAATTTGTAGAGTCTAATCAGAAATCTGCTAAACAAGTGAGGCTAAAATGGCAATTGAAATGCGGACAACTAAAGACTTTCTCTAGAAACACAGAACTCTAGCTCCATTCATGTCACACACATTGAGCATTCAGGGGCACTGTTCTGCACTCAGTGCTGATTCCTTTAAACTTTGCCTTTTTTCCTTTTTAATGTAAATAATGTAGGATGCAATAAAAGTAATAAGTCTCAATGTCTTAAAAAGGGATATGTTCTGTATTCTTCTTTGGCAAGTATATATACCTAAATGAATGGAAACAAAACAATAACATCAACTTCACAGGGCTGCTGTGAGGATTAAATGTGATAAGCACACAAAGCTCTGGGACAAAGTCTGGTACATAAAGTGCTTTATAACTTCTACTTGCTGCTGCTGTCATTCTTGTTGGTTTTATTCATATGGCTGTTACCTTGTATACTGTTCCTATTTCATGACATTCTAACACATTACTATATGGTGGTGTTGTGGCGTAAATAACATTGGATTAGACAGAACAGTTCAGGCTGTTCCACATGATAGCTGAATAAAAATGAGCAAATTCTTTGAACATGTTTTGTAAACCTTTTTGTAAAATGAGGGATATCATCATCTACTTTACATGGTCATAATGAAAATTATAATTGGAAAGCACTTTTTAAACCATAAAAAGCTTAAAATATCTAAGGTATCATCATCATCATCATCATCATGATTTTGATGAACAAATATACAGGTGTTTAAAAAGCAAAAAAGAACTGTCATTAATTTATAGTTATATGTCCTATCCTGATCTCAGGATTATATATAATCTATATGTACAGGGACCCACATTTAGAAAAACTTTTGTCTATAGCCACTGTGTTATGGTAATGTATCACTTGTGATAAGCATTCTGAAAAATGCATCATTAGGTGATTGCTTACATCACAGCATATACTCATGCAAATTTTGATGGTGTAGCCTACTATACGCTAAGGCTATATGGTATACCCCATTGCTCCCAGCCTACAACCAATACAGCATTTTACTTACTAAACACTTTAACACAGTGATAAGTGTATGTATATTTAAACATATCTAAACTTAGAAAAGTATGATACAAACATTAGGCAATAGGAATTATTCTGTTCCATTATGATCTTATGGGACCACTATCATACATACAGTCCAACACTGACTTAAATAACACGCAGCATGTGACGATTTATTTGGTAAAACTGATTAATGTTCACAAGTATATACTTACCTTTACTATTGTTTTAGGGCGTTTTTTAAAAAATAGTTTTGGCTTTTCCACTACCGGAAGAGGTGGAAGTTTTTTAAGCTCCTGTAAGACAGTGGTTGCAGCACGCTTCTTAGAGAGTTTTTTGCTATTTCCCTCTCCTTCTGCAGAGAACTCTCCTACTGATACCCGAGTAACAAAGCTCTTCATATGTGGTGGTCCACTTTCTTTAATAACCTATTGAATACAAGTAAAATATTAAATAATATATAGGCACTTAAGATATATTCTTTCAGCACAAATACTTATTGATATTCTTATCATAATAATAATTGATATTCATAATTACAATAAAATTATAGTATTTAAGAAAGCTATGATGAAATATGATACCAGTAGTACTCATTTATAACATAGCTGATTCTTCCTGAATTGAAGTAAAAGAAATCTAAAAAAATACATTCATAGACAAAATTGTTTTAATCACTATTTCCCCATGTCTTACAAAACACAAAATTAAGAATATAAAACATGCCAAATAAATTGGATACTATATTAGATAAGCCATCTAGACACAATTTGTACATAATTGTTTACATACCAATCTTCTCCTCTGTCAGAGTAAGTTACTCAAGAACAAAGACGATGTCTTATTGTAATCTATAACCTGTGAAGCAGCTTACCTTAACTTCTTCTTGACAGAGACCTCAATGGCTGTTTTACAGCAAGGGATATTTACTTTTCTGACATGATCTTAAAAAGATACACTGATATGCAATAATATCTAGCTTTCTAGAGTAATGAATTATGAATCTGTCTGCTGTACATGTTCCTAAACCCTACATAGTCCTGTTCTTACTTTTATACTATACCAGCTTTTTGGGGGGAAGAGGCCTTCCAAACCCTGAGTATTCAAAACTTTAGTCTCTTTGAAATTCTGACATATAGAAGATATATATTACATTGAAATTTTGTCTTCTAATATTGGATACCAATTAGGAGAAGGGAAGAAAACAACATAACATCTCCATAATACAACATAATTAGGAATAAGAAATTTATTCATAGTGTCCAAGTAATTTAAGTTCACTAGTTTAAATGCCAACCGTTTACTCTGATGAACATCCTTCTCAATTTAAAAAAGCATGTTTTACGAACTTAACTAAGTCATAAACTAGAAAATACTGAATATTTAACCAAATAAGAGCATCATTACGAACATCAAATATTCGATACTATAGTATACTCAACAACTTGTAAGGACTTATAAAACTGTATGTTCCTATTTACTAGTCTTTTAAAAGATCCTACACACCAATAATTTTTGTATATTCTGATTACTTTTTATAAGTATCTTATATTTTCCCTATCATTTCTTGCTGAGACTAATAAGACCCCAAGTATACTCTCTCTCTGCCCTCCTCATATTACTGCTTTTACTCTGCTTCAGGCTAAGAAATCAGATAACTCAACTTGTCAGAACTGTGTACAAGAAGCACTACTATTTCTTGGTCCAGTTCAGATGATCCTACCAACAAGTACAATATGGAAGCTGTCTAGTAAAAGGATGTTGCACAATTTTAAGAGAAGTTCTCCACAACTATTTCAGCTTATTTCATGGTTCTTGCCCACTTTTCAGTCATGAACTGTAAAATCAGTGATGTCTTCACAATGAGGTATTAAAATAATAATTTTTAAGTTTCCTCTTTTTTTAGTTTCTTTTTTTAATTTTTTTTATTTTTTTTATTGTTGGTTGTTCAAAACATTACATAGTTCTTGATATATCATATTTCACACTTTGATTCAAGTGGGTTATGAACTCCCATTTTTACCCCTATACAGATTGCAGAATCACATCAGTTACACTTCCATTGATTTTTTTTATTGATTTTATTTTTTTTTAAGAGAGAGAGAGAATTTTTTTAATATTTATTTTTTGGTTTTTGGTGGACACAACATCTTTATTTGTACGTGGTGCTCAGGATCGAACCCAGGGCCATGTGTATGCCAGGCAAGCATGCTACCGCTTGAGCCACATCCCCAGCCCCCTTGATTTTATTTTTTAAAATACAAAACAGAGGAAGGCATTATGATTCTTATTACATATATAGAGTACAATTTTTCATATCTTTGTATATAAAGTAAATGCACGTCAATTCATGTCTTTATACATGTACTTTGTTTTTTTATTACAATTCTTATTACACATAAATACCACAATTTTTAATTTCTCTGTGTATAAAGTATGTTGACACCCAATTCGTGTCTTCATACATGTACTTTGAATAATGATTTCCATCACATTCCACCATCCCTGCCCCCTCCCTTTCCCTCTAGAATTCATCTACCTAGAATTCATCTATTCCTCCCATGCTCCCCTTCCCTACCCCACTATGAGTCAGCTTCCTTATATCAGAGAAAACATTTGCCATTTGTTTTTTTGGGATTGGCTAACTTCACTTAGCATTATCTTTCCAATGCCATCCATTTACCTGCAAATGCCATGATTTGATTCTCTTTTATTGCTGAGTAATATTCCATTGTGTATATATGCCACATTTTTTTTTTATCCACTCCTCTACTGAAGGGCATCTAGGTTGGCTCCACAGTTTAGCTATTGTGAATTCTGCTGCATAAACATTGATGTGACTGTGTCCCTGTAGAATTCTGTTTTTAAGTTCTTTGGGTATAGTCCGAGGAGAGGGATAGCTGGGTCAAATGGTGGTTCCATTCCCAGATTTCCAAGGAATCTCCGTACTGCTTTCCATATTGGCTGCACCAATTTGCAGTCCCACCAGCAATGTATGAGTGTGCCTTTTCCCCCCCATCCTCGACAACACTTATTGTTGTCTTCATAATAGCTGCCATTCTGACTGGAGTGAGATATATTAGAATAGTTTTGATTTGCATTTCTCTAATTGCTAGAAATGATGAGCATTTTTTCATATATTTATTGATGGATTATATATCTTCTTCTGAGAAATGTCTGCTTAGGGGCCCATTTGTTGATTGGGTTATTTGTTTGTTTTGTTTTGTTTTGTTTTGTTTTGTTTTGTTTTTTGGTGCTTAGCTTTTTGAGTTCTTTGTATACCCTAGAGATTAGTGCTCTATCTGATGTGTGAGGTTTAAAGATTTGCTCCCAAGATGTAGGCTCTCTATTCACCTCACAGATTGTTTCTTTTGCTGAGAAGAAACTTTTTAGTTTCATTCCATCCCATTTATTAATTCTTGGTTTTAATTCTTGCACTAATAAAAATATTTATGATTGGGCTGGGATTGTGGCTCAGCGGTAGAGCACCCACCTAGTACGTGCGGGGCCCTGGGTTCAATCCTCAGCACCATAAATAAATAAATAAATGCATTGTGTCTAACTATACCTAAAAAATAAATATTAAAAAAAATTTATGATGTATTCATTCAGTTTTAGAAAGCAATTTCCTTATTTCTTGATTATTTCTTAATTTAAGGCTGAACATACTTTGGGGGCTGGGGATGTAGCTCAGTTGTAGAGCACATGCTCAGCATGCTGAGACCCTGGATTCAATCCCCAGCACACAAACCCTCCCACCCAAAAGTCAAACATATTTTAGCCTCCACACAATTTTTAAAAAGCTGTATAGTAACATAAATGTGTCACTAAAAATTAACTTGACTATTAACTTGAATTAAATAAAATCAAATTAGTATTATTTTTTATTATTTAAAACACCAAATCCTAAAAGGTATTACAAATTATCTTGTATCCAGAATATAGATGTGATGATGACAATTGAAATGTCACGTATACAAACACCTTAATATAAAAGAACAAAAAGATCAGCAGGAATCTATGATATTATCGAAATTTCTATTTTCCCCAGGGCCCAGGTTATTTCAAGCTAGTGAATTTGAACTTAAGGAAGCATATTAACTCTTACAGGATTCTACTACACCAGTTAATTTTATTTGTTTGCTTATTTTAAATAACCAGAACAGGAAAAAAAATTGAAAGATCTCTATGAGAACATACCTCAAAACTGACAGGCATATTTCTCTTCAGAGCAATTTCAAATACTAAGCTGATCTCGGATTTATTTGCATCTTTATCATCATCCATTTCCTTTCCTGATTCACCATTCTAAATCACAAAAAAACAGAATAACATTGAATATTAATTTTACAACAATCTTTATACGTGTGTGTGTGTGTGTGTGTGTGTGTGTGTTCCACAATCAAGAGAGCCTTGCTAAAATACAACAAAAAATAACAAACTCTGGACTATATCCAAATGAATTTCTGTCTGACTATAATAGTCAACGTTTTGCTGTGAGGCTTTATATACTTGGTTTTCAGGGAATTTTGTGTGGGTTTTTTGTTTTGTTTTGTTTGTTTTGTTTTTAACTTTACATAGAAACATTTAATGCTGAGTTTGGAAATCTTTTACACAACCATATACTACTTCCAGAATTTATCCTATCTTTCTAGAACCAATTCTCTTATTTGAGAGCTCCCTACCCACTACCCCTCACACCTTGCTCCTACATGAGTCCCTAATAATTCAAATATGACCTATGAAAACACTAAGTTATAGAAAGAACAAAGGATGCAAACTAGGACATAGGAGATCTGCATCTGGCACTGGCACCAATTAATGTATTCACTTATTTAATACATAATTCTAGAGGGTCTCATATGTGCTGAGCATAGAAGAAGTATTAGAGAGAAAGAGAGAGTCAATAAGCTTATAACCTAATGGAAAAACAGACAAAAAGTTATGATAAAAGTACACAAGCAAAAAAAGACCAAAGTCTGCCATTAAAACAAATCTCAAACAAGGAGAACCAACAGATTTGGGGAAAGTAAGTGTCTATAGATGCCAAACTGTAGGTTTTGAAATAACTAAATGCAGAAGTCCAATAAGAAGGTAAATATAGGATATGTCTGAGCTACAAATACTATTTCGAGGCCCATGGATAAATAGGCTAAAACTATAAAAATGGGTGAGATTACTCGAGAATAGCCTCAATATCCTCACTTATAAAATAAACTAAGACTTAGTTGGGATTGTGGCTTGCCTAGCATGCGTAAGGGCACTGGGTTCAATCCCCAGCACCACATAAAAATAAAAACAAAAAAATAAAGGTATTGTGTTCATCTACAACTAAAAAATATAATTAAAAATATAAAAATAAAAAATTTAAAACTAAAATAAAGACTTAAGGATCCATAAAGATCTCAATTTTATATCTCTTGGTTCTATATTAACACACTGTAATCTATGCTCAATAAATGCAGCATTAAATGCAAGGCAAATGAATGTCATCTCGCATCCTTATACAGACATCCCAAAATTCTGAGCCACCTAAGAGGTGAATTAGGTCACACTGACAGGCACAGGTAAGACTCATGTAGCAAGACAAGTAATCTGAGAAACAAATCTCAGCAGATTATTATCCTAGTGTTCTTTACCACTGATATTTACAAAGTATATTTATTTTTCTGATCAATAATCTCAACTGGGGAAGTGTAAGACAGAGACAGCCACATGCAGCAGCACCACACCTGAGACTTTTCTGGAATAGGTTCATTCTGCAGTGCTTGAAGGGCTTTCATTGCAGCATTGTGCCTTGCAGCTTGTCGAGTCTTTCCTTCACCAAAAAACTCGTTATTTCCTACCGTTAGCTGAACATAAAAGATCTTAGGCATTGGGCAATGATACCTAAAATAAGAAAATGAAACAATTAATGTTAGTTCAATAAAACTATTCTATAATCATTAATAAGATTTGCTTTATCAAAAATGTTACCAACGATACAAATGTACTATATCCTGTTACTAGCTCCAATAAAATTTTAACCCTATGAATGTACATAAAAAGATAAAAGGTGTGTCAATACATCTAAAGATAAATGTATACTACTCTCCATGGAAAACATATGTAGAGTACAACAATAAACATAAATGAATACAGAAAAATTATTTAGTTACATCACAGAGGATTTCCTGGCATGTCTTCAGTCAGATTTTGCAGAAGAGAACAGAATGGTTTGGTGCTGAGGATGGGGAGCTATAACAGACTCTGGAGACAGATGAGCCATTTAAGAGACAACATGATGATTAATGTGCTTTTAGCAGAAGGCAGTTTTAATCACTAATTTGGAAGCAGGGATGAATTTAATATGATACAAAGTAATGAGATCAAAGTCAATGTAAGGAAGAAAAGAGAGTTATACCAATTTCAATTTTTAAATGATACATAGTAACTATGTATGTTTATGGGGGTACACTTGACATTTCATACATGTATACAATGTGTAAAGAACAGATCAAGGTAACTGGAATATGCATCGCCTCAGACAGGTATCATTTCTTTGCGCTGGGAACATTCAAAATTCTCCCTATTTTGAAATATTCAATTAATTATTGTCAACCACAGTGACCCTATATAGAACATTAGAAGTTATTCATCCTATCCAACTGAACCTCATTAACCATCTGATCTCCATCCCTCAGTTTCTAACATCCTTTCCCAGATTGGGTAACTACTATTCTATTCTCTGCACTTCTTCAAGATCAAAGTTTTTAGTTTCCATATATATGGTTTAGTTTCCATATATATTCCACTTATGTCTTACTTATATGTTCTTACATATAGTATTTTTCATTCTGCCTGATTTATTTCACTTAATATAATGTCTTCCAGTTCCATCTATGTTGCTGCATATGAAGAATTTCATTCTTTTTATGGCTGAATAATATTCTATTGTATGCACATACCTTGTTTTCTTTATCCATACATCCATCAATGGATGCCTTGATTGATCCAAACCTTGGCTACTGAGAATAGTACTGCAATAAGCATGGAAAGTGCACCTGTCTAACATACTGTTTTCAATTCTTTTTGTATATATCCTGTAGTGGGATTGCTGGATCATATGGTAGTTCTACTTCTAGTTTTTTTTTTGAGGAAACTTCATAATGTTTTCTATATGGCTGTACTAATTTACATTCCCACCAATAGTGTATGAGAGTTTTCCTTTCTCTATATCCTCATCAACATTTGTTAATTTTTGTCTTTTTGATACCAGCCCTTCTAACTGGGGTAAAATAGAATCCCAATGTGATTTTTACTTGCATTTCTCTGGTGATTAGTGATAGGGAGCAGAGTTTATGCCAAGTCACAGGGGGAAAGATAACAAAGTATATTTAAAGTGAAAAGTTTTAGCAAGTTTGTGCTTAATATGACTGAGTTAACAGAGTATAACTGGAAAGCTGCAATAATACAGGTAGGAGGGGATAAAGGAGACTAAAAGAAGAATAACTCTAGAAGAAATTAAGAAAAAAATAGGAATATTTGCAATACAACACATTAATTCAACAATTATTTATGGAGTATGTTCCACATGACAGGGGACTATGACAATGAACCAAAATATTATAGTGGAGAAAACAGGCAATAAATAAGATAAATATGTAGAATATCTAGAATGTTAGAGATAATGAAAGAAAAAGCAGGAAGGGTTCAAAAGTGTTGGGAGGTGAATTTTTAGATAGGGTTGTCAAGGAAGGTTTCATCAAGAAACTAATGACATTGTCAAGACTTGAAATGAATGAGAAAGCAAACCATGAAGGTATCTGGGATACTGCATCAAGCAGAGAGAACACCAAGCACAAAGCCATGAAGCAGAAATGTGCCATGCATATTTAAATCACTCAAAGGAGGCATGTCTGGCTAGAGTTTAGGGAGTGAAGGAAGGAAAGCTAGGAAATGAGAAGTGGCAGATTGCACAGGGCCTTCCCTAGAAATTCTTTTAAGGTTCTGACTTTCACCATGAGTGAAATACTCAGCTATTCTGAACAGAAATAAGTAACATAATCTGACTTTTATTTTGGAAGAATCATCTAATATGTTGAGGACAGACTGAAAGGGAAAAAATGGAGAAGTAGGGAGGTCTAATAGGATGCTGCTCAGATAATCCAGGGAAAAATGATAGTGATCAGAAGTAGGTACAGCAGTGGATGTGATGAAAAGTCACTGGATTCTGGGTGAATTTTAAAAGCCTAAACGGGTTTACCTAAGGACTATATATGGAATATGAAATAAAAATAAAACATGACCTGTTCATTGAGACACAAAAGGAATGGATTTACTGAGACTGAGTATCAGTAGCTCTATTTTAGAAACGTTAAATTATTAGAACTATTAGACATACAAGAGGAGATATCAAGTGAACAATCAGATTTATGAGCCTGCGCTCTAGGAAAGAGATCTAATGTTGAAATAAAATGTGGAAATCATCAATACATAGATGGTATTCAAAACTTTAATACAATGAGAATTCTGCTGGAGAGAGTGATAAGAGGGAGACCAAGGAAGCATAGTGTCCTTACTGAAAGCTAAATGGGAGAGGAAAGTTGGAAGGAGAGATTGATTTTATGTAGTGACAAACACAGGCTAAGAAATGTAATGATTGGGAAATATGACCTTTTAATTAAACAGTTCAGAAAATGAATAGGATTAATTTGGATGGACTGACAATGGTGAAAAGTCAAAAATTAATGTTGTAAAATGTTTGCTTCCAGGCTGGGGATGTGGCTCAAGCGGTAGCGCTCTCGCCTGGCATGCATGCGGCCCAGGTTCGATCCTCAGCACCACATACAAACAAAGATGTTGTGTCCGTCAAAAACTAAAAAATAAATATTAAAAAAAATTCTCTCTCTCTCAAAAAAAAAAAAGTTTGCTTCCAAGCAAAGAGAAGCCCAATTGAGGCCATAATATTTTTTGTTGCTGTTTTACAAAACTAAGAATCAAACCCTGAGTCTTACAGCTATTACTCTATCAGTGAGCTGCATTCCAAACCCAAGATTCTATTATGTCTTAAATAATTACTAAACATCCATGTAGTGGTGTTCTATAGTCAAGCTGGGATAAATGGATCGAGCCAATAGTATAAAAATTCATTGGGCAGATGGAATTAATCAATGAACATTTAATGAAGGTAAAAGACTAGAAATGTAGATTGGTACTGAAGATGCAGATTAGTGAGGCAATAATTGAAACCAGGCCAGTGGATAAACACCTGGAAAGAGTAAGTGTAAAGGAACCAAAAAAGAGCCTTAGGCTGGGATCTGATTGATGTGCATGATCAAAGTGCAGGAGAAACAATAGATGGCAGTGAAGGAGATGAAAGAAAGTCAGAGTTAGAAAAGAAATCGCAACATAATGTCAGAGAAAGGGATAATCAATAGTGTCAAATGGAATGGAGAAATTCAGAAAATCCAAAAAAGAAAAAGTTCCTATTTTAAACTCTTAAAATCAATTTTCTTGATGTACAGTTCTCTACTAATTTAAGATAAAGTATTTTAAATATATTTTATTATCAAGTCCTATGTTCTTACTTTTTAATTAGCAAATATAAAACAATTAAAGGAAGAAAAAAATTCAATGAAAGTAAAAGTATTTTTAATGTCCAAAGACTAAAAAGCATTTTAAAACCACAATCTGCTTTGTTCTTTGATTACAATAACTAAATAGAGTACCAATATACACAAATTCCTATAACCTATTTTATTTTAGATCCCTTTAATATAGAAATATAGACAGGCTAATATGAAGATTGGAAATTATCTTTATATCCCACAAAGTTCAGTTTTCCCATCTTCACAAAATTTTATGCATATTTTAACTGGTTCTACAAAACCTTAAAACAGACAACCTGAAACCATAAATTTACTCCTGATCTGATCTTTCACCACAGAGCAAATATTTACAATTAATTATAAACTTCTGAAAATAGAGGTCCACAATAAGAATGCTAACAGACGTTTAACTATGGTAGAGGGAGTGGGCGCCACTATAATCACTAAGGCCTGCTGACAATTACAAAACTCATTTGGGTTTGCCACAGAGACAAACAAAATTTCTGTTCATTATAACTTTACTAGAATATGATGTCATAACATATAACCATACTGAAACAATCTGCTGATTTTCTGACCAAAATATTAATTGCACATTAAAGAGCCCTTGGGGCCTCTTCCTTTTTGGTCATCAAATATGGCTCTATGCATATGTATGTGCATGTTGATATATATGTACATATAAATTATATCATATAAATATCAGAGGGAAAATTAAGCATGTTGTATTTTTGACATTACAAAGTAAAATATTCTAGCACTAACAACAGGAAATACCAAGACCAGACGCCTGACTTGTTTCATTCCAGTTTCATTTCATCCTCTTAACAATGATTCCTAATAATATACCCCACATGGCTTGAATACCTTACACATCACATCTCCTCACTGCATCATGACAATTAAGATTAACCAGAGCACCCTGATTAATGGTATCCAGATTGGATTATAAAATCGATGATTGCAAATGCTTCATCACACAGATGTGCTAAGACCTTGTGTCTAAATATTTATTTCCTTTGTTAAAGAAACACCAAAATTTACTAGCTCTAAAGTTGATATGCTCTATGTAATGGAGTTCTTTCTTCTATTTTTATTTTTTTAACTTGAAGTTGGTACTTAATAATAAGTGATTTCCTATTCCTACAAATCAGCATATATTTAAACTACTTGGACACAGCTATTTTTGAATGAGTATTCTCAATTAGAATTTTATGGTCGATGTTTACATCCCCATAGTGCCTACAATCCAAAGATGACCCTTCGAAACCTCTTCCAGATTATTTAAGGGTCAAATGG